TTTTACATAAGAAGAAAACATCATGCTAAAGATAACACACTCATTATATTAGCAAATATTAATTGAGTATTGGATTTAGGATCTAAGGCAGTCATGCAATGCCTGGGGTAAATGGTGGGGGCCACTGCGACACCTGTCCCTCCAGGGTCACCTGCCATGCTTGGAAAAAAAAAATCATGCCCAGATAGTCCCAATGAACAACAAGTGGGCTTCTATAAGAACTAGAACCAGAGGCCTGGGAGATGGCTCAGAAATAAAGCATGCTTACAACAAAACCACTACTGGTCCTCTGGCAAATAGCAGCACTGCCTGGTCTTGGGAACCTGCTTTTCATTAAGTTGGACAAAGTGAAGACTTTAATGACCTCGAATATACCATCCCAAATCATTTTACAAAATTATTTGAAAACAAAATGAAACATCTTTTTTTTTTAATGTTTGCAAGTGTTGTATGAGCACTTTTTGTTGCACTGTTTCTTTGGTCACCAATTTCTTCCCTTGCCAGTAGGGATCTTACTCTTCAGAGCCAAACAGGTTCTCTCCTAAGCTGCCAATAAAGTTGACCTGTTGGGGACCTGGCTTTCTCAAGCCCACGTCTCTCATTGCTATGAAGCATGCATGAATGTAATGGGCTATCCCACCACTCCTTTGGGCATGGGGAACCACAGAACCAGAATTCCCAGCACCTCATCTTCCCTCTTGCCTTCAGCTCCCAAGCCCTCCTGGAGAACTGTGTGCTGGGCAAGTCACAGCTACCTAGAGGTGGCTGATGGAGTACAGCTGTCCAGGGATGAAAACAGTAATTTGCCATTCATGCTTAACTTCCCACAGGAAAATCCCTCCAGCCATGTCCTTCTTCTGTTTTGTTGTGATGCTAGGCAGACTCCCTGGAACCCCACCATGGACCCAGAAGACCCCGGTGCCAGGGCAGTTTTGCACTGAATCTATGCTCAATTGAGCAGCTGGCCAGCCCTCTGCCTGTGCTACCACAATGTTCATGGATGATTAGGACCAGAAAGGAAATGTAACAAATTCCATAGATATGAGCATCCAAAGGACAGAATAAAGGCCACTCATTAAATAAGGGGGAAATCAATCTTGGGATTGAAATGTGTCTCAATGATACAGCACCTAAACTGTAAAGCTCTGGATTTCAAGCACAGCACACACACACACACACACACACACACACACACACACACACACACACACACGGGAGGAAAGGAGGAAACAAGGAACAAAAAATGAACAAAAGAAAGAACAGAAGGAGAGATTGACGGTCGGACTGATGCTCAGACTAAAAATAATCTATCCAGGAAAAACTGAACCCAAGTTAGTCAGGCACAGATTTTTTTTTTACCATACTCTCTGCTTGTTCCAGTGTGTTGGTGTTTCTTGGAATTAATATTGAAGCAGAGTTTTATTCTAATTTACAAAACGTCAGGGCCTGGATAAATTCTGTGAAAATATGGTGTGAAAGAGAAAGGATTTAAAATAACTTCACTGATGGAAATCAGGGGAAATGAGGAATGAGGACTGGGATTGGGACACCTGGGACTGTCTGGAGACATCCCACCCCTCCTTGGATGGGGCAAGCACCACAGAACCACAATTCCCAGCACCTCCCCTGCAAGCCACACTGTGGGGACCACCTGGTCCAGCAAGAGTAATTTGTCATTAGTGGTCATCTTCAGGCAGGCAACTCTTTGCGCCATTCCTGCCCTTTACTTTTGTCATGATGCTGGGCAGACTCCCTGGTCCCAGGGAAGGTCCTCTTGTTAACCCTTGCCCTAGAGGCTTGGGGTAGAGCAGCTGTGCAGCTGCTCCTTGGTTGCCCAGCCCTGGTGATTCCAACCACAATTCTGTCTAGGGGATCCTGCAGCAGAAGACCTATGGTGTGGGTCAGACCATGAGTTGGGGGCTCTGAGCTTTGTGTGGGAGTCAGGCTCAGGAAAGCCTCTGAGATAGCACCAAGACTTTCCTCTGTCCTGGGTCTAGAAGTAGTTGACCATAGAGAGGGTATGTGAGGAAAGTCTAGAAAACTTAGGGCTCCTTCGAAGCACACAGGATACCTACCATGGAACCAGAAGACTTCAGTGCTAGGACGTTTTGCACTGAGGGTGTGCTCAAGTGTACAGCTGGCCAAGCCTCTTGCTGTGCTACCAGAATGTTCATGGATGATTAGGACTCAAAAGGGAATGTAACAAATTCCATAGAGATGAGCATTTGAAGGAGGTCATAAAGACCACTCATTAAATAAGGGGGAAATCAATCTTGGGATAAAAATGTGGCCAGTTTCTTGACTAAAAGTCAAAATGTCCTTGGACCTCTTAGCAACATACTCTGTTCTAAAGGCCAAAAAACGTGAACAGTATTTGGGAATCTTATCTAATCCCTAAAAATTTTAGGGTTATCTCTTCAGAGGGGGGTAGGTTAGAGTAGCAAAAATTCCCATAAAAAAAGAATACAGGAAGATGTCAGGAAAAAGCTATGGGGAGATATAGAAGGAATTGGAGGGGAGGGAGTATGCATGGATTTGATCAGAACACCTTATAGGCATGTATGAAATTCTCAGTAAAGCTTTTTAAAAGTTAAAAATAATGTGTTTCAATGACACAGCACCTAAAATGCAAAGCCCCAAATTTCAAGTCCAGCACACACACAAAAATAAAGGGAGTGAGGGAAGTGGGAAGGGAGGAGGGAACAAAGAGCAGAAGCAAGAGAAAGAGACGGAGACTCAGAGAGACAGTCATACTAGGGAAACAATCCATCCAGGAAAAAATTAAGCCGAGTGCTTGACCCAGTGTGTTGGTATTTCTTGGAACTAATATTGAAGCAGAGTTTTACTATAATTTCCAAAATATTAGGGCCTGGATAAGCTCTGGAAAGTATTGTGTGATAGAGAACAGATTAAAAATAGCTTCACTGATGGAAATCAGGGGAAATGAGGACTGAAGACTGAGATTAGGTGATTTGCTGCTCGCAGAGGATGGCAAATAGTCCTGGTGGAAGGTGGTCACTAAGGCTACAGAAGTACCTGCTCAGGAGGCATAGGAGTTTTGGTCTCTCACACCCCCTGACATGAAGGGGGCCTCTCCCCTGCAGGCTGTTGAGTCCCAAGCTGAGACTCTTTTCTATGGATGCTAGAAGCAGGAGGGTCTCTGCATGAGACAGCAGCTGGTGAGAATTCACTGGGTGTCATTGATGCCAGGACTCCTATTCAGACATTGCCCTCCAGACAGGGAGGACATCATATTGGACTTGTGAGAATGGTGGCCTGTGGTGAGAAGCTGGTGGTATGTGAGAAATGACATAAGATACGAGTTTTGCCTTCTAGTGCCTTTTCAGAAAATACTCTTTATTCTTCTACAGTTCTTACTGCTATTAACTTTTTTAAAGTTTTTTAAGTTGAATTTTTGCAAAATTCAGAGAGGATCATACTTTTGTTTGAAAACTTTCTATATTGGGTGTGATATTATGAATTAGAATGAGAAATAAATTTATAAAAAATATAACACATAAGAGGCCTTCCTTAGGGTCCTAGGAGAAAATAAACTACTCAAAATGGTCAATTTGGGGAAAGCTTAAGCCATTATTTGCAAAGTTTTGCACAGAATGCAGCTGTTTGGGACATACACAAGCACTATGCTTCCTATTTCACAGGCTTCATCAAAAATTTTTTAAAATGACCTGGAACTTCTTTTGGAATATTTGCAAGTGTGGAATGAGAGGTTTCCATTTTATCCTTCTTTTAATCACCGTTTTCTCCTCTTGTCATTGGGGAACATGCTTTCCCCTGGCTTCCAGCACAAAGGAGCTGTGGTGCAACCTGTTTTCCAGAGCCCAGCTCTCTCTTCCCTGTGAAGCAGGTAGGACAGTTTTGGGTTTCCCACCCCTCCTTTGGGCGGGGCATGTGCTACAGAACCAGGATTCCCAGCACCACCCCTTCCTGCTTGCCTTTAGCTCCTAAGCCCCCGGCATTCTGGAGACCTGTGTGCTGGGCAAGTGGTGGCTGCCCAGGCGCTGGCAGTGCCAAATCCCACTTTATGCTTCAAGGGACGACATGGGGTCCAGCTGGTAATTCGTCCTTACTGCTCAGCATCAGACAGGTAACTCGCGCGCGCCATTCCTGCCCCTTCCCCCGCCCCGTGCCAGGGCATCCCCCTCCTTGCGGCATGCCACAACTTCCGGTCCAGCAACGGGGTATATATTGTGCTCCTGCTTCTTAGTGGTCTTGCCTCAGCGGCTACAAACACAGCGCTACCTCGCGGCCATCCAGGTGAAGAGAACTGGCATGGTCTGGACGGACCTCAGGCATACCATTCAAAAAAATTGGCAAAATTATTTGAAAAGAACTGGAACATCTTTTCATAGTGGATGCAAGTGTTGAATGTCCGTGTTCAGTCGTATTTTCCTTTGGTCACAATTGTTTGCTCTTCCCTATAGAAATCTTACTCCACAGAACCAAACACAGACCCAAGAGGCTCTCTGTCATTTTCTGGGAAGTGGCACAGACCCATGTCACCTAGGCAGTTTGGAGCACACCTGTGTCACTCTGAAATGCTGACAGGACGAGTGCACAGAAAGGATCCATGGGAACCAGCAGCACTGCCTGGTCTTGGGAACTAGCTTTTCCCTTGGTTGGAGAAAATTGAGACTTGAAGATATTGAAGGTACAATTCAAATTATTTTCAAAAAATATTTGAAATCGAACTGCAGAATCCTTTTTACATTTTCCAAATGTTGAATGAGCGTTTTCCCTTGTATTGTCCTTCTGGTCAGGTTTTGCTCCTCTTGACAGTAAGGATCTTATGCCACACAACCAAATCCTTTCTCTCCTGGGCTACCACCGAAAATGAGCTGTGGTGCAGCTTGCTTTCTCAAGCCCAGGTCCCTCCTCTCCACCAAGCCGCCAGGACTGCGTGGAGCCTTCCCACCCCTCCTCTGGGCGGGGCGAGCACCAGAGAACCAGGATTCCCAGCACTTCCCCTTCCTGCTTGCCTTCAGCTCCCCTGACTTCCTAGACTCTGGACACCCTTGTGCTGGGCCAGTGATGGCTGCCTACTTGGTTGCTGTGCTGGAACCCATTTTTACATCAAGGGATGCCATGGGGTCGAGCTGGCGGCAGACTGCAGCAGTAGTTTGTTATTAGTGCTCAGCCTCTGGCAGGTAAACCCCTCGCACCCTTCCTCCCCTTCTGTTTCCTCTTGACGTTGGGCATCTTCCCTGGTGCCAGGGCTTCTCCCCTCCTCCCTAGTTGCCACAGGAGGTTCGGTTGCGGCCTCCTCGCGGCAATTGCTGGCCTGTTCCCTTCTGGTCATTGCGCAGCAGCTCCTGCAGCAGTGCGAGCTGGGGGACCATAGGTCTGAAGAGTCATGGCGATGGCGTGGGTTGGATCTTGAGTTTGGGGTTCTGAGTTCTATGCTCTGGGCACCATCAGAAATATCTCTGAGAGAGCATCATGGCTTTCTCTGTCGCGTCGTGGAAAACGGCTACCTGTAGAGAGAAAGAGGCAGGAGGGACTAGATACTTCAGTGGAACCTTTGCCCCACCGGGAGTACCTACCCTGGGCCGCGCGCTACTCCGGAGTTGGGATTGTTTGTGCTGAGCATGGGCTTCAGCCTGTGGCTGGTCTGTCCTATGCCTGTGCTTCCGGAACTTGCACGGATGATGAGGAACTCAAAGGAAATGTAACACATTTCAGAAATGAGCATCCTAAGGATGGTATTAACACCGCATTAAATAAGGGGGGAAATCAAATCTCTCTGGGGATCAAAATGTGTCTCAAAATTTAGGCACAGCGCCTAAAACGCAAGACGCGGGATTTCATCTCCAGCACACGCAAAACAAGGAGAGAGTGAGGGAGGGAGGTAGGAGGCAAGGAGGAGCCAACAAAGGAAAGAAGGAAGGGAAAGAGACACAGAGGGTTGGACACAGGGTCATCCTAAGAAAACAACCCATCCAGGAAGAAATGGAACCTGGAACAGATTGTTTCCCATATGGCCGCCTTGTTCCAGTGAATGTTGGTGTTTGTTTGTACTAATACTGAGGCAGATTTTTAGTCTCTTCCAAAAATTTAGGACTTGGATAAACTCTGTGGAGAATATTGTGTGAAAGAGCAACTAAGATGGTTAGTGTTTTGCACTGTTCATACCATTTTTTCACTTTTTTTTTTTTGCAAGAGACTATTTAAAATATACACTGATGGAAATCCTGGGACGTGAGGACTGGAGACTGAGACTAGGTGTTTGCATGCTTGCTGAGGATGGTAAATAATCCTCGTGGAAAGTGGCCTCCATTTACACAGAATTAGCTGCTGGGGAGGCACAGGTACTTTGGTCCTCCTACAGGACAGGGGAATCTAAGTTCAGATTTCTTTCTAGGGATGCTGGAAGCAGGAGGGTCAAGTGGCCAGCAGCTATTTAGCCTTCACTGGGTGGGGTGCTCTTGTTCAGACACTGCTCTCCAGACAGGGAGGATTTCTTAATGGGCTTCTAAGAATGCTGGCCTGTGCTGGAAAGCTAGTGTTGTGTGAGAAATGACAAAAGGCAAAATTAGATTTGACTTCTAGTTAGTTTTCAGGGAATACTTTTTGTCTTCTATTGTTACTGTTATTTTTTTCAATTTTTTAATTGAGTGCTTGCATATTTCATACAGCTTGCTCCTACTTTGTTTAAAAATTTTCAAATATTCTGTGTGGTATTTTGTATTAAGACAAGAAACAAATTTATAAAAACCATGTTGAGAGGCACTACTTAGGGTCCTGGAAGAAAATAGCCTACCCACAATATGTAATTTTGGGAATGTTTAATAAACCCATTATATACAAAAGTTTGTATAGCATGTAGGAAAGCACCAAGCAGCTCTTTGGCATACTCAGAAGTATTATGCTTCCAATTTCACAGGCTTCATAAAAATATTTTGAAAATGAACTGGAACTTCTTTTGGAATGTTTGCAAGTGCAGAATGAGAGATTTACATTTTATTCTTCTTTTGATCACCGTTTTCTCCTCTTGTCAGTGGGGAACTTACAGAGTCAAATATGGTCACCCATGGGGTCCAGCAAAAATGAGCTCTGGCGCATCCTGATTTCCAGAGCCCAGGTCTCTCATTCCTGTGAAGGACAAAAGACAGTTTTGGTTTTTCCCACCCCTCCTTTGGGCGGGGCATGTGCTATAGAACCAGGATTCCCAGCACCACCCCTTCCTGCTTGCCTTCAGCTCCCGAGGCCCCTAGATCCTCGAGACCTGTGTGCTGGGCAAATGGTGGCTGCCCAGGCGCTGGCTGTGCCAAATCCCACTTTGTACTTCAAGGGACAACATGGGGTCCAGCTGGCCTTGACTGCAACAGTAATTTGTTGCTGCTCAGTGTTGTTACTGCTCAGTGTCAGGCAGGTAACTCTCTCACGCCATTGCTGCCCTTTTTGTCCTGATGCTATGCAGCCCCCCCACCCCCCATGCCAGGGCATCCCCCTCCTTGCGGCATGGCAAAGCAACTTCCGGTCCGGCAACGGGGTATACATTGTGCTCTGGCTTCTTGGTGGTCCTGGCTCAGCGGCTACAAATGCAGTGCTACCTGGCTTACCATCCAGGTGAAGAGAACTGGCATGCTACTGATGGACCTCAGGCATACCATTCAAAAAATTTGGCAAAATTATTTGAAAAGAACCCGGAACATCTTTTCGTAATGGTTGCAAGTGTTGAAGGTCCGTGTTCAGTTATATTTTCCTTTTGTCACAAAGTCTTTGGCTCTTCCCTGTAGCAGTATTGTCCTTCTAGTCAGGTTTTGCTCCTCTTGACAGTAAGGATCTTATGCCACACAACCAAATCCTTTCTCTCCTGGGCTACCACCGAAAATGAGCTGTAGTGCAGCTTGCTTTCTCAAGCCCAGGTCCCTCCTCTCCACCAAGCCACCAGGACTGCGTGGGGCCTTCCCACCCCTCCTCTGGGCGGGGCGAGCACCTGAGAACCAGGATTCCCAGCACTTCCCCTTCCTGCTTGCCTTCAGCTCCCCTGACTTCCTAAATTCTGGAGACCCGTGTGCTGGGCTAGTGATGGCTGCCTATGCGATTGCTGTGCTGTAACATCAAGGGGACGCCATGGGGTCTATCTGGCGGCAGACTGCAGCAGTAATTTGTTATTAGTGCTCAGCCTCTGGCACTCTCGCACCATTCCTCCTCTTCTGCTTTGTCATAATGTCAGGCATCTTCCCTGGTGCCAGGGCTTCTTCTCCCCTCCTCCCTAGTTGCCACAGGAGGTTCGGTTGCGGCCTCCTCGCGGCAATTGCTTGCCTGTTCCCTTCTGGTCATTGCGCAGCAGCTCCTGCAGCAGTGCGAGCTGGGGGACCATAGGTCTGAAGAGTCATGGCGATGGCGTGGGTTGGATCTTGAGTTTGGGGCTCTGAGTTCTATGCTCTGGGCACCATCAGAAATATCTCTGAGAGAGCATCATGGCTTTCTCTGTCGCGTCGTGGAAAATGGCTACCTGTAGAAAGAAGGAAGCTGGAGAGACTAGGTACTTCCGTGGATCCTTTGCTGCACGCCATAAATCTCAAGTTACTCATCTTTTATTATGATGAAGGTTGGATTTCAGTCTTTTGGACCCGGGTTTCAAATTAAGTATATTGTGATGTATTAACAACCCAGGTGATGTGTTAGCTTTAGAATAGGCTTTGGTGTTAGGGGTAGTGTTTGTAAGAATTTTTATTTTGAATGAAGTTTTTTTACCTATTACATATTAAGAAATTCTTACTGCTGTCCTGCATAGAGGTAGCAGAAATGAGACTGCTTTAAAGTGAGAAATACCGCTTCAGAGGTGCCTGTGCACTGGCACAGCTGTGCTATCTAGGAGGCTACTCTAGAGGTTTTCCTGACCTCCATATCTGGTGCAGCCATGGCTAAAGCTTCCTTTGGAATTTTGAGATTGGATCATGACTTGAGAATTTTGTTTTCTTCCATTTCCTATGCACAAGAAACATTAGGTAACATCAGAAACCAGAAAACTTTAAGGCCTGGACAGCTACAGGAGGTTGGCAAAGAAGAGTAAAATTTTGTTAAGAAGTCAAAATTACTTATTTGAGCCAAGAATTCTTGTGTGCTTCTAATTGAGTGGAAGATATAGTCTCTTACAGTCTGCCTTTAGAAGCTATGAGCCACATTCAAACCCATAATCCTGTGCCCTTCCTGGAAAACAGGACAAAGTTGATTTGGATCGTGGCAGTGCATGAGTTTTGTGAGCAAGAAAGTCTGGGTAGGTCCAATTCCTTACCTAATCTAACAGGGATAACCTAAAGGCCCTCTCCCATATCCAGAGAAATGCCTTGAGAAGGTTCTGGAGCTTGACTGTCTTTAAGTCCACTTGGAGTAGTGCCCATCACTCACTGCAAGACTTTGCGTGCTTCCCCACATGTGGCAATTGTTCAGACTGCTGCTCCTCAGAGTTGGAGTGCTCTGTGGACACTGTAGCGCTCACATCATTCATCTGTAGCCTTTTGATGCTAAAGTGATCCAGTTGTCCCTGGAGGAGTCACCAAACCCACCAAAGCTGGTATATTTGGTAAACAGCTTTTCTGTCATAATCTCAAGTGCCTTTATGTGTAATTTAGCTTTTGTTAATAAACTCATTGTGATATGTCACTTTGATTTAGGCATCAGTCTCTTCAACTTCTCCAGGTACAAGCTAAGGTAAATACATCTATTTTCCATCTCTTTGTGAATATGATCTTCTGTTGGTGTCAGTCTTCCTGAATTTGTTCCTCCATTTTTTTGAGACAGCCTGGAAATCTCTATGTAGACCAGGTTGACCTTGAACTCACAGAAACCAGGCTGCATTTGCCTCTCCCTCTGCATCCTTAATGCTGAGTTAAAGGCACATACCACCATGCTCAGCTCTTCCTCCCTTTTAAGGCATCTGTTATTATTGTATGGGAACACAGAGGCATATATGTGTTCTCTTCTTTCTCCCAAGGCTCCAGGAAATCAGCTGCCTCCAGCAGGATCTAGATCCAAACCATTGCTGCCATTCTACACCTTAACTGAACCCTCAGACAAAACTTTGTAGCCCATTGATGCACTATTTCTGCCATCACCACACCTGAGGAGCTCAGGAGGTAAAAGGCCACCATTCTCACAGGGACAAGAGGGGCAGTCATCAGCACCACTAACACCATGA